ATATGGCATCATTTGATATAGGATTTCAGAGCATGTTTCACTGTCATACTCTCGTATGTATCACTCTTTCAATGCTTTTGGAAGTTGAGCATTATGCCTTGTTTGTGAGCTAATACATGAGCATATCTTTCTTGCCATTTATGTTGCAAGTCTAGCGTGTTTTTGCCATTGTTTTGACCTGTCTTAGGTCTATTTTGAGTGGTTTAAGTCATTTGAGCATTGCTTAACATAATTGTAGTGTAAAGCCCTTGACTAGCTTTGTATTTCAAGTCTCTTGGTATGTTTTATTTGAGCTATTTGCATGATATGGCATCATTCGGCATGGTATTTTAGAGCATATATTTCTGTCGTACACTCATATATATCGCTCTTTAAGTGCTTTCAAGAGTTGAGCCTTATGCCTTGTTCATGGGCCAATGCATGAGCATGCATTTCTTGCCTTTCATGCTATCATCTCAGCACATTTTGGCCACTGTTTTGACCTGCCCTAGGTCTGTCTAGGGCTGGTTTAGTCCATTGAGCATTGTATTGCATAGTCCTAGTGTTGTGTACCTCACTAGCTTTAATGCTTAAGGATCCTAACATGTTATACTTGCATTATTTGCATGATATGTCATCATTTGGCGTATGATTTCAGTGCCTATATCTCTGTCATACTCTCTTATTTATCACTCTTTCACTGTGTTTGAGAGTTGTGTTTTAATGCTTAGCTTGCGAGCCAATGCATGAGCATGTTGTCGTAGCTTTTGGTGCTTAATTTCCAGCATGATTTTGCCACTGTTTTGGCATGGTGTAGGTCTGTCCATAGTTGGTTTGACCATTTGAGATGGATAGTGCATGCCTCATGTGTAATGTTCTTCACTTGCTTTAATGCCTAAGTCTTCTAGCATGTCTTGCGTGCATTACCTACATGATAGAGTCTTGTGCATACCACTTAGCATTGAAAGATGAGCATCTTGTTTACATTGCATTGTGTTTGGATCAGATGTTAATCCAAACACAAGGAATGTGGCACGTTTCATACTCAAAGTGAAGAAACGTGTTGCGTTTCTTGGTCGCCAACCCTCTTGATCATGCATGATAGAGGCGGAGACTCTTATGTGTTGTTTGTGCATTCACTAATATTGTGCGAGCTTGGCTCTTTGGCCATCATGCATTGAAATGCGTGATTGGTGGCTTGAAAGTCGAGTACTACGCTCCTTTGAGCTTGAGAAATGATAAGGAGAGTAGTTGCACACACATTTCCTTGTAAATGCATTGTTGTGCCTTTGTTGATCTTTGTTGCAGCAAAGTTGAGGTTCTGGAAAGGAAAGTGGCCGGCCGGCCACTTGCAGCAAATTTGTCCAGAATGCTCCTGTTTTGGGCAGATGCAACCTAAAAATGCGTTCGATGTTCTGAGGTCACCGCGAGTGCAAACAGAGGCAACTCATGGCAAGGCAATGCATTTTCCAGGCAAAGCAAACCGAGCATGCATATCTCCCTCCCCTCGAGGCCATTTTAAATGCTTTGTTTAGTTAGCTAATTTTTTGGTTTCTGTAATTAATTAGTTGATGTGTTTAGCTAATTTAATTCATTATTGTAATTTTCTAATTAGCTTAGAATAGTTATTTTCAATTTGGTTTGTAATAATTAGTTAGCTAGAGTTAGTTAATTAATTGGTTTGTAATAATTAGCTTTGCTTAGCGTTGCTAGTTAGCTTATTTATTCGGACCCTCCGTCGAGAGGGCAAATGTTGTAATAAGTGTGTGTGCGTGTGTGCATGTCTTCCAACCCCATTTCTTTCTCCCCTTTATTTACCGGCTTTTGATGGTTAGTTTTAGGGCATGTTTCAATTAGCATACTTATGCTTTGCATGTGTGCATCATTTATTCGTATTGCATGCACCAAGCTCGGCGCATCATTCAAACCGCATTGAATTTCAATGCTTAGTTGAATACATGTTTCAAAGCATGTTATCGAGTGTTGCATTCATATGCCATCTTAGAATAGCCGAGCCTATTTAGCCGCATTGTGCATGTGTTGCATTAGGCATCTTAACTTAGCTAGGATCATGCATTGATTTCTAACTAGTTTCCTTTCTTTGGCTCGGAGTACACTGTAAGTGTTTACGTTTTAGCATACTGCATGAGATGTGTATGTTGCCATGATAGCATGCTTGCCATGAGGTTATTTGCTTAATTGGTATAACTGCGTGAATGCCTGTGGGTGGAGGCTTGATTGCCTGAATTGGAACAACTCGATGATTGTGAGTTTTAAGCCCACTTTGCGGAGTGACAAAATCATGTTTTTCTAAGCCCACTTAAGGGTTGCAAATCCGCACTTTAGCGTACTTGCGAGTAGCACTTTCAAACCATTTTCGAAAAGCAAACATGAGTTGATTTGTTCCAATTTTCGCAATTGAGTCTATACTTGTATGCTGTGCGCATCAGATAGTAAGCTAGATACAGGAATAAGAATACATGTGTTTTTAAAACAACATATCATGATTAGTAGAGGCCAATCCTTTGATCGGGCGAGCGGGGGGTGCTCATTTCATGACCTTCCCCCCCTCGTACCCAAGTTCCCGAGCCGAGGTAACTCTGGTGGTGACGGACACGTGGCCTTTGGCACGAGTCAGGGTTTCCTAAATTCCCAAAACAAAATATTTAGGTGGTGACTTTGAAATCTGGCAAAGCAGTCCATGTTTAGCACTTTTTTATTAAAATCGATTTTCCAAAATGATTTGTCGGATTTGGACTCTCTGGTGATTTATCAGTCTTACATTGCACTTTGTGAGATTAGATTCAGAACCGTGACAGGAGTCCGAACTGTAGTAGCTAAAACCCAATTCGCGCCCACGCGCGCGGAGCGAGTTTGGACGGTCTACACCAATCCGGCCGCAATCATAGCAAAACTCAGATAACTTCTCATATTTGTAGAGTACTGTGATACCAGCACCTCCTGGAACGTCCCCCTCCTCTCCACGATGGAGGATGAAGCCTTGCAACAACTAGGAATGGCAAGGGGGCGGGGTGGGGCAAAGCCGAGGACTACACTCCCCGTCCCTAATCCCCGAAAGCTCTAAATTCCCTGTCCTCGCCCCCGATCCCTGGCGGGGAACCCATCGCCACCCCCGGCCTCGCCCCCTAACGGGGATCAGGTATCCCCGACCCCAAAAAATCCCCGAATTAAATAGCATATCAGATTTTTTTTTTTTATTCAAATGAAAGATTAAGCAATCTGTAAAACAAGCTAAAACAAATCCATCCAACATCAGTGACTCCATCATCATCAATATCATCATTATCACCAACAAAAAATAATTAAAAAAAAAATCAAACAAATGTTCATCAAAAAATAAAAAATAAAAAAATCAAGCAAATGTTCATATTCAAAGCAAACCAAGTGATCTCCATTTTTGTGCTAGATCAAACCAGATTTGGGGGTTTTGAACTAGATCTGAGAAAGATGGATGACTGTGACGGACGGCGATGGGGGAGAGGGACGACGGCGATAGGGAGAAGGACAGCGGCGATGGGGAAAGGGGAGGAGAACAATGGCTGTAGAGAGGAGGGACAGCGAACAGCGGCGATGGGGAGGAGGCCGACAATCGGCAGTGATGGGAGGAGGGAGATCGGCGATGCTGTGAGAGCAGCTGCCCAGAGAGAGAGAGAGAGAGAGAGGCTGAGACTATGAGAAAGAGAAACGAAATGCATGTGAGTGAGAGGCAGAGTCAACATGTTACATAAATATCTGGGGAATATTCGGGGAGTTATGCGGGGGTAATTCAGGGTGGGGCCGGGCCGAGGCCGGGGTTGGGGTACCTATCCCCGTCCCCGGCCCGAAAACAATCGAGGATTTAATTTTTAATACCATCCCCAGCCCTATGGGGATAATTTTCGAGGAAAACCCGTTATAATCGAGGTCAGGGGATCGGGTCCCTGTCGGGCCGGATTCAAATTGCCATCCCTAGCAACAACGACTTAGTTATATCAATCTCAACACGGATCCTTAAAAAGTTACGCTGCAAAAGGAGTCCTTCCGAATGGGCCTCCACTCGAACCAGTCTCCCGAGACGTTTTCCAATAGTTTCTCCATGACCTTTGGTTAACTTCTCGATCGGCAAACCATGGACTTGAACCCAAAAGGGGCACCATCGAAACTCCAGCTCTAACGTGACCATTCCAGACTGAAGAGGTTGAAGAACAAGAAGACTCCCCATAACCGACCAGGGGGCATCCTCAAGAACTCTCCTACGATCTTCAAGTTCGTCAAACTGAAAGAGGTAAACATTTTCGTTCCAAGGCGAGATTCTCACCGAGGCTCGAGTTTTCCACGCACTGTGAATAATATTAGTAACTACCTGCCTATTCAAATTTTTGGGAGCGAGGATTTTGCCCACCAAACACCTTTCAGACACATCCTCAGTCTCATCAGTTCCTTCGAGTAAGGCAAAGTTCTCCATCAAATAAGCCAAAAAGAAGACACGAATACCAAGAAGAGAAAGAAAGTCAAAAGAATAAGTGAAACCGACAAGGAAAGCCCTAGGGCTGAACGCACAGAAACCGAAGGAAAGGGATAAACCCTAGAAAGCTACTAGGCTAGCAGAGAAGCTCTCATGTTAGAGAGAGAAATTTTTTCGTCCCAACCACAAAATGCTTCCCCTCTTGTTTTACTCAATCTCTCTATGGGGTAAAGGAGAATCGAAAACAATTAACGAAAGTGTTCATTTATTAACTTTATTAAAAATGAATAGTAATGAAAGCACATTTTTTTCTTTCTTTTTCAAAGAAGACATCGAATTGATGAGAGTGCAAGGAAGATAACACAACCCTTATTACTATTAATCCTTTTGGCACTAACACTTATTTGTATCCTTATGAATAAGGGTGGCCATGGTAATCTCTTCACAACAATGACTACAGTATAGCACCCGTAAACAAGCAGAGCAGAAGATAGAGCAACAATATAGCACCCATTGATCTGAAAAATAATAAATATATGACTTGCTAATTGCATACCTGTTGATCACAGCATCAACAATGACTTGAATCGGATCTAGGTGAGTGAGTAAATGGATGATTTCCATAGCATGCTTAACAATGCGAGCAGCCATCAGCTTCTTCCCATTGCTTCGATCGTGCATCATCAAAGAGTTGGTCAGCCTTTCCACAATCGGGCACTGGGCCTTCCTAAACCGCTTGATTGAGTACCTTCCAGCAGTGTGAGGAACATAGGTTGCATGCTTTGCAGCACTCACAGCAATGTAATCCGTTACAGAATGTCAGTGATCTGTTGAAGCAACACATCAAGCTTAAAATCGCGATGAATAATATAACTCAATTTTAGTAATGGCAGTTGAACTATCAAAAATATACACAAATTGTTCAAATATCAATATCTATTACTGTCCGTAAAAAAAATTATGCGAGAAATTGAATTAAGCTAGATTTTTTTCTCAATACGTGGTCCAAGATGTGCAATTTAAGCTATAACTGAAGGGTTAATCTTTAGAATATGATGAATACAAAATCACAATCCCTTCCAAGATATAGTGAGCTGTTCTATATTTTAGAATTCAAAAAAATAAAATAATAATGTAACCATAAAAACAGTAACATGTAACTAACTATTTGAGGATATTTCATTTATTTTTCTCTCTTATTTTGTTAACTTAAAATGTTTCAGAGTTTCTAATCTTTGCTTTCTACTATCTAAAAAAAAAAATTGCTTTGCTTTTGTTATTTCATAATACCTTCTGGTTTACTTTAATTTCAAAATTTTAAAAACTCATTCACCAACTAAAGTTCCTTATTCACTCAAAAAATCGATTTTCAGTTTCAAATGAATCAGAGAGAGATCATAGATTAACCATTAGAGCAGAGATAGATGTTGCACATAATGAACTTTGAAATGCAAAAGTGAGAGAGAGAGAGAGAGAGAACCTGAACATCATCGAAGGACCATCGGTTGAAGAGCTTCACGTCACTGTGAGGCTGGTTTGGCTGATCGTTACTGTCGCCACCACCACCGCCTTGAGCTACAAAGCCTCCGTCATTTCAACAACTAGTAGAGAGAGAAAGAGAGAGACGTATAAATCAGGGGAGTAGCAAAACTTGGCTCCGACCAGCGAGTGAGAAAGAGGAGGCTGCTCTGCGTTCGAAGCACCCCAAGGAATCAAGGATGGGGAAAAACGAATAAAACCCTTGGGGCCAGTTAACAAATATAAAAAATTACAGCAAAATATTTTACTTTGCATTCTATAAATTTGTATAGATTACACTTTACATTATTAATATTTTTTTTTTAAAATTATTGACATATATGGTGAAAGTTAAAAATGCAAAATGTTATAAAATTGTAGGGTGCAAAATACACTTTCATAATTTTACAAAATTATTGTGTAAGTATAACTTTTTATTTTACAAGAGATAATGGATTTTGTTGTTGTTGATGTTGTTTATTATAAAGTGTTATTAACCCATTTAAAATCTTATATTTTAGAAGAAATTATTTGGTTTGTTTTTCAGAAAAAATTTTGAGAAAAATTCTCTACAAATAAATTTTCAAGAGTAATCAAACCAAATAAATTTTTCTAAAAAAAATCTCAAAATTTTGTTTGGTTACCTACTTTTCAAATGCACTCTCTCTCTCATACGCATCAAATCAATCACTTTTTTTAAAACTCTCTCTCTCCAAAATAATTTTTCAAAACCATTTCTAAAAAAATGCAAACCAAACAAGTTTTCGTACTTTTTAACTCAAAAACTACTCTACAAACACAAACCAAACACACCCAACATGTTTGTATACATTCACCCAAAAAAGACATGTTTGTATACAAATTAATTTGACAGATATAATTTACAAATTTAACAGATAAATTTACAAATTCGTTGCCTATAATTTGAAAAAGAAACATTTACAAATGTGTCCCAAGATCAACCATAAATTTCAAATACTTACAAATATTTAGGAGAAATATTTACAGTTTAAGACCTACCTTAACATTTATGACTCGCAAATGGTTATAGATATTCAAAATTTACCATGCAAGAGCGACTTAAAAGTGACTAAATACTACAATTTAGTCATTAACTAATATATTTATAAAGATGCCCAAAAAAAAAGTATTAATTGTTATTAGAGCAATTCAAATCCATAGCGCAAGGGTGTCATAAAAAACAAAACATATTGAGGTTTGACCATATATATATATATTTAGAGAGTCAAAAATACCAGCCAAAAATTACAGAACTTGAGTCAGTTCATAACAATATGTCATGCATTGTCCCCTATAGCTTGTTTGGTAAACCAGGATATCACAAAAGGCCTGCTTAAAGTTGTTAATGACTCAACTAAGGGAACCCAAAAGTGCAACTGAAAATAATAATAAAAATTTCAAAAAAAAAAAAATACTGCATTTAGGTTATAAGGGAAAAAGGTCCTTGTGAGTTCATCTTCCAGAACAATTCAAACATATTCCTTTTTCTTCTTTTTTCCCCCAGTTTAGGTGAACATGTTAGGAAGGGGCCTGACTGCCATGAATGCATCCACCATCTGAAACAGAAAAAACACAAAGAATATTACAAATAATCCATTATAATTATTAGTCCTCATCTAGCAAAACAATATTAGAATTAGTTTATAAGTCCTTGTGTGTAGCCACAAAGAATGCATAACCATGGTGATTAAATGCCTCCTCAACTCTACCCCAATCAAACACAAGCGCACATAATATAAAACTAAACAATGTTCCAATGTCAAAAAAACCATGAAAATTACTCAATTTCGAAAACCCATGGACTAATTTACATATTGCAAAGCTACATAAAAAATATATGTCAATTGGGAAAAAAAAGAACCACCACCATTCATTTCCATCCAAAGAGGACCATATGGGTCGTAAAATTATAATTAAAAAAAAAAACTAATAATAAGAAGAAGCCGTATCTTCATCCTCAATTGACTAAAATGCAATATGATGCTTGCAAGCCATATCTTCGAAGGACAGAATATAAAAAAGCCATATCCTCTCTCTTTCTCTCTCATGGGAGAGATTATCAAGAAGGATTCAGAAGCGCTGGTTTCTCTGGGCAGCTCAGTTTTTGTTTTCCAAGTTGTTTGTGTTTTCTGCATAGGATCCAAAGCTTTGTTTTTTCACTCTCCATCTCCATCTAGATGAGTTTCTTTCTAGTGAAACTTCAATCTATGCTCTCTCAATACTTCGATTTCCCTCTCTAAATACTTTCTAATTGAAGATATTCTTTCATTGAAGAGAAAGAGACCATAATTATAGTGAATTTTCTTAACTTGCTACCCATTCACATGGTTGATCTGCTCAATGTCAACATCCATTTTCAGTTGAAAAAGACTCCCATTTTATATAGTATATTGTTCAAGCTATGAGGTAGAGGAGCCGGAAACGATGGAACCAAACCTCAAGGATCACTACAACATGTAAGGGAAATGGAATTGAATAACATTGAAGGGACAAATTGGGATAATTATGTCATACAGTATCTTCTAATACATAAAAAATACCATGAAAAGATATAAATTAAAACGATTTGACATGGACTTGTTATATAGCCCCAACTAAAATACATATTTTTTTCCCTGGGTGTTTTACTCAATAGTTTCTAAACCAAATTTGATAGCATAATCAGATTATTAAAAATCTGTTGAACAATGCAATTAACAATTTAAAATTCTGGCAATCCAGGTGCATTTACAGAATTTGCAATTAGAAGCTTATCTATTTATTACATTAGCAATGCTCACCCTTAAAAGCAACAATCCCTCAAGGATGAAAGTAATTACCTCATCAGTGACTGCAGCCCGAGCCCTACGATGTCTTTCCACCAATTCCGTTAAAAGTTCAATAAGTCGCCTTTTCACTTCACCTGTTAGCATACGTCCTGCACCATATTCCTGAAACAACATAACATGACATTCTTTAGAAAGATGAAATAGCAAGAGTCATAGTTTGTATTTTGTAAAATGATTTGGAACACGTAAGAAGTAGATACAAAATAGTACATATTTTCACCAATGACAAAATTTAGTCCACTGACCTTTCTTATGTGGTCAAGTTCAGCATCATCCTCTAGGAAAAAACCAAGGTATTTAATAGGTATGTCTACCTGCATGTGTCAAAGAAAAAACTTAGAAAATGAGAGAAAGATAGAGTATGCTTCCATTGAAAAACTGCTTCCTAAATGGCGTCAAGCTGTGAATTGGCAAAGACCTCCCCTCATAATATGATGTATATGCTATAAATAAATGAATTCTGGCTCCTTGAATATCAAAATGCAAAGATAAGCAGAAGCATAGGCTTTGAGTTTGTTATGGGCCTAGCAACATTTTAACAACTATGAGCAAGAAATATCTCACATCCAGAACATAGAAGAACATCCCAATATGAGATGTCTAGATACCAAGCCATTTCAAGGGGACATCACTCTTCATCATATACATTTGCAAATTCAAACAACAATTTTTTTTTTTTTCCTTTTTTGATCGGCGAAAGTTGGTAGTTAGCTGTTAGATTAGCACCTTGGGGGAGTTGAACTCCCACCCTCTCCTTGCAAGCACTTATAAGTCTTGGCCCCTATTCCACTCTTAAGAGTGGAACCCAAGACCTCCTCTTAGGAAAGACTTGGTGGCAAAAGGGCTAGCCACACAAGCTACAATCCCTTGGTTAAATTCAAACAACAATAATTTTAGTACCTCAAGATTTGCTCCATACTTTCTTTGATTCTCTATAGAATCTTGCCCACCAGAGAATGCGTATTTGTTTATCTGTACAAAAAAAACAAAAAACAAAACAAAACAAAACAGCTAGTCATAATTATCATACCTAGTTCAAAATATGGGCACATTTTTTATCAATGTCAAAAAAAGAAAAAAGAACAAGAAATAGAAAACCACCATGTTGTATGCACCTTTGTTTTCAGTATAGGATGAACTTGTGGATAAGCTTAACAATCCTTACTCCCAATCTACGTTACACGGACTCGGGTGCGGGTATGTATCTAGCGGTCGGACACTTTAAAATTAAAAATTAAGGATACGTGGATACGGATCCAAATTAGGATACGGGTATGAGGATACGTTAAATAGTTATTTTTAAATATATTTATTATATGAAGATGAGTTTAAAAAAGTTAAGGAATAACAAATTTTATTAAAAAAAATAACAAATAAATAATAAATAAAAATTATTTTAGATATAAAATAAATTATATTAATTTTAGGCATAAAAATTATGTTATTATGATATATTATATTATATAATATTTTTTTTGGTAAATAATATTATATTAATATAGTTTATATTATATATAATTCAAATTATATTAAAAAGAAGAGACAGAGACTGATCAAAAAAAAAAGAGAGAGACAGAAAGAGAGAGTGACGAAGAGATGAGAAGAAAGAGAGAGACGAGAAGAAGACCGAAGAAGAGAGAGAGAGAGAGATCAAAGGGGAAGACGAAGGAACATAGTAGATCAACTTCACAGATCAATCAATCAACTCTGCAACCAAGTCAGATTGAAGTCGGCGACCAAGTTCTCTCTGTGCTCTCTCCTCTTTCGTTTCTTCTACCGTATCCGTTTCTAAGGAGCCATATCCCGGCCGTATCCTGCACCCGCACCCATGTCGTGTCATGTCAACACGGGTACCTCTGAAATTCCAAAGAGTTTGTGTAACGTAGCTCCCAATCACTTGGGGGTTAAGGCAACATGAATATGTTTTGTCTAGTTGACTCAATTCAAAGCCACACCTTCAGTCAAACTCTAGGATAAACTTATCTCACAAAAAATAAAAGTTGGTAAAATTAATTTCCATTTCAATGGTTGTCAATCCATTAGTATCACTCATAAAAGATTTCAAGACAGACCTTGTTTTTAATGTCCTTTGAAGAATCAGTCACATATATAGCAGAATTTGGATCACTAGCAGACATTTTCCCTGTCTCTCCCTGCAATATCCATAATAAGGAAAAAGTTAAGAGCTAGGATTAATATCAAGGAATAAAATCAATTGAACTTTTTTAAAAAATATTAGTATATTGAATAACAGTGTGAAGCAACTATGGAAGCAGAAACCTTGAACACAGTGTACACATAACTCTTCTTCTTTCTTTTTTTTTTTTTTTATCAGCGACAAATAAATTTTATTAAATAAAAAAGCTGAAAACAAAGTATACAAAGACAAGAAAGAAACAAAGGGGACAAGAGGTCCCAAAAACAAAGCAAAATACAAAAAGATATCACAAACTACAATCGCCCCTCAAATCTGTAGAGAGAAAAAAAGGAATCTTAGAAGAAAGAGATACTCAAACCCAAAATGAAGCCAAGTAATGAATCTCCACCCATAGTCCCTCCAAATATTGTGCCAACTTATAAAATAAAATAAGTAAAAATAAAAAAACAAAACATTGATACCTATACCAATGGAGAAGTCTACTACAACAACGAGTACAAATTTGATTGAAGTCTATAAAGATTGTGATGATGAGAAATCCATTACAGTCATGCCATGGACTACGGCTATGTTTGATTTGAGTTTTAGAGATGAGTTTTAGAAAAAAAATTTCAAAAAATTGTTTGGTTTGAGATTTTTCTCAAAAAATTTCCAAAATCACTTTCTCACTCTTAGACATCAATCAATCACTTTTTCTCTCTCCTCTCTCCTTCTCAATCACTTTTTCTCTCACACACATCTACTCAATTACAACAAAATATCAAATCATCCCAAACTCCAAAACTACTTTCAAAATATACAACCAAACAAACCAAAAAAATTTCTAAAACAACTCTCCCAAATTTTTTTCAAAAACAACTCTCCCAAAAACAAACCAAACAAGCCCTACAAATTTTGGAAGACAAATTTAGTAATTGCAGAAAATTAAGTGCCAGATAGTTCCAATAAATTTCATAAACATATAATCAGGAAGCAAAAGATAACAAGGCAAAAAGGAAAAAGTCCAATATTACGGCCTAAATTGCTTCAAAAAGAGCACCCTCAAGAGCCAGAACAACAAAAACAATTATTGAAATAGATATAGTTCCTTATTAACATCACTAAAACATTGGCCATACTAATAAGAAAGATACAATTATACAACCAATTATTTATACTTTTTGAGAAGCAACGATTGTTTGCAAACCCATTAAAAGCAAACCTGAAGGGCAGGAAAGAATAATGACTCAATCAAAGCAGGTTTGTGAAACCCTATTCGAGGAGCAACATCTCGTGTCATTCGGAAATAAGGATCCTGGGGAAAATTGTGAATAAAAAATTCAACATAAGAAAAAGAAAACCAAGTATATTAATGAGAGATATTTTTGCTTAAAGAAATGAATTAAGGTAAAGAAAGAATAACAATGACAATATATTTAAATGATATGAGCACAATACCCAGATACCCTTGGAAGGCAATCTTCCCATGTTATATGATGAATCAATAATTGTGATGCAGGTGGAAAGAAAAGATGATCATAATTATGAATTTGAAGCAAAGCCAATGTGGACACTACAGGTGCAACTGTACAAAAATAAATAAATAAGAAGAAAAAAGAAAGAAAGGAACTAACTTAAATCTCAATACTTACAGTTCTGAACATCTACAATACATTTGAAGTGTACATGTGACTACCATACCAAAATTGCATGCTTCATTATTTATTAGCTATCGAATTCAATTCGCATACAATTGTCAAACCAATCTTAGAAACATCATCCAGCCTCTAAGTTGATCAACTTATAAGTCATAATGCTCATATATACAAACTAGATGTATCATGCAATAACCAGTAATATGATAAAGAGTAGAAGAACCAACCTGATCAATTGCACATGGAATCAAGCAGCGGAGATTATGTTTGCCAGAAAAGAGGTGCGGAAATGAACTGGGAAAGGATGGAGCAGCCTGCAGTTAATGCAAGTTTAACATGTTGAAACAACCATCCATAATACTGGGAAAACATAATTAAATTTAAAACCAAAAACAAAAACAAAAAAAAAAAAAAGAAGGAAGAAAGAAAGAAAGATAAATAAACCAAGAAAATATGTTGTGTGCACCATTTCCACCACTCTCTACTCTATCACGGTCAAATTCAAATGTTACACAGAAGAAATGACAATGATGATAACGATTAGCAGTACTATAACAATGTTCATTTTTGCTCCCACAATAACTTGACAAAGAGACAAAAGATACCAGGCAGAGAAAAAGTGATACTCCAAAAGCAAAAGGTGCATAAAAGAATAGGCGTCATTGATTAAAAAAAAACAACATGCAATAACCAATAATATGATAAAGAGTAGAAGAACCAACCTGATCAATTGCACATGGAATCAAGCAGCGGAGATTATGTTTGCCAGAAAAGAGGTGCGGAAATGAACTGGGAAAGGATGGAGCAGCCTGCAGTTAATGCAAGTTTAACATGTTGAAACAGTCGTCCATAATACTGGGAAAACATAATTAAATTTAAAACAAAAAAAAACGAAGAAAGAAAGAGAAATAAACCAAGAACATGTGTTGTGTGCACCATTTCCACCACTTTCTACTCTATCACGGTCAAATCCAAATGTTACACACAGAAGAAATGACAATGATGATGACGATTAGCAGTACTATAACAATGTTCATTTTTGCTCCCACAATAACTTGACAAAGAGACAAAAGATACCAGGCAGAGAAAAAGTGATACTCCAAAAGCAAAAGGTGCATAAAAGAATAGGCGTCATTGATTAAAAAAAAACAAGAGAAAATTCAAACTACCTTTTCATTGCTTCATGTTAAGAATGGGGAAAGAGAACATAAGGTGGGATATAATCGTAAGATACTAATGAAGAGAAAAAAGAATCTTTGCCGAACTTTTACCCAAAAAAAACTTTGCCATGACCATATGGATTGGTCAATTAAATCATCCAATAGGAAGACAAAACCATAACCTTGTAAATATTAAGAACATCTCACACTGAAGCTGCCAACCTATGAAGCACGGATATGACACATCACTGACATACTAACATGGCAATTTTCAATAGAGCATGAACAAGACACAGCAGGGACACGTCTTTTACATTCTTCTTTTGGTTTGTTCAATTTTTCCTTCATATATATACAAATGGGATTCACTCGCATCCGGTTGATCATGTCCAAACAAGACAACAGCCCACGAAAACAGCAGGCACAAAGAGCATTCCTAAAGATAATTGTATTTGAGGAGGAAGGTGAGCAAGCAACTGTTGGTAAGTTGCCTTTGTTAATAGCAGGCTGATGGAGGGAGAAGAAGAAATTTGGTGCCGGAAGACTTGTCAGCGACTAGAGACCAGGCCTCTCTCTCTCTCTCTCTCTCTCTCTCTCCATATATATATATATATATTACATATATATAATTGGGTATATGGTCAAACACATTTTGTGTCCAATGTGTCGGACATATGTATGTCCCACTAGGGGTTGTGTTGGTTCTTCTTAGCTAGCAACGAAGGTTTATCTAGCTAGTAAAAATTTGTATTTATCAAAAAACAAAAACAAAAACAAAAAAGAACATGTGTTTTGTTTGTATAAACCTTGACTGCGTACAAACATGTGTTTATTAAAAATAAAAAAAAAAGTGTTTGTACAAAGGTTTATACCTGTACAGCAGGGAAACTTATCTTTCCAATATGATCTTCACCAGTGAAACCAAAAATACCTACAACCTGCAGACAATACCAGCACAACTCTGTCAGGGGTTTGAGAACAGATATGAATAAAAGATCACTAACAGCAACAATGAAGACATGTCCTAATTTCAAGAAACAAAATTTGCTACAAAATATCACCTTATTATATGTAACACATTTGTTGATCCTCACCATGTTCTCATAAAAGGTACTGCAAACAAAATTTCTGTGTGAGAGCAGTAGGGGAAATGCAATAAGCCTAGTGCAATTCAGAACATGCATGCAAGACCGAATCCCACATAATTTGGCAAACTAACTTGATAGTCACATTTTGTAAAAAGAAAAAATAAATCAAATTTAAAGCAGAAATACACTTAGGGCCTGATTGATTCACAGAATTGGAATTAAAATGTGGAACTCCACTTTCAATACTAATGCCAGCAAGCATTGGAATTGGATTATAATTAGAATATGACAGCAACCCCACCCCCCACCCCTTAAAAAAAAAAAACAGAGACAAGAGAATAAAAGAACAAAAAAAATGTTCAAAGATCTAAAAAATATAAAACATGTAAAACTAAGTGTGTCACAAACAAAATTCAAAATTGGTATGAATTTAATAGAAAAAATATTTTCATTTTTCAAAATGAGTGATAAATAAAGAAGATTTTTCTTAAACAATTTTCCAGGCGAAGTAACAAATAAAAATTACTATTAAAAGACTGAAAATTAACTAAACATGCATTATCAAGAAAAGAATGTGTAATACTTACCCACCGACATAATTGAAATCTGAGAAGATGAAGGTTTTTGAAATGTCAAAGCCACAAGCTATGATATCTTTAGCATTCTCACGGGCAAGTCTCTTGCTCTCCTCCACTGACAAATTTTTCCACATGCACTTCTCATCATCCGTCAGCTGTATAACAAGAGGAACCTTAAAAGCATCTTGCAAATATCTGCAGCAATGTTACGCTGTTCGGAAGATGAACAAGATGAAAACGAATTGATTCGAAAAAGAAGAAAACAACAAACCCACCCACACTATTCATAAAATAATGTCTAATGCATACAAATTCCTTACATAATTTGACCACTAGAGGCAGTCAATAACAGAGTACAAAGGCTATTTTCCAACACGTTCCAAAACCACCCAAATTGATCACACTAAAGATAAAACTAATGGGCATTACCGTAGAAAATTTCCTGCAAGTAAAAACTTGACCTAAGCACTAGCTGATATCCCTGAAAGACTGCCACTCGAAAACACTACTTGATCAAGAGAGACAGCAGACAAACGTACCCAGACTCAGAAACCAAATCATGCACAATAGTAACTAGCATTTTAAAGGTAATAAGTATTCTGGATAAGTGCAGTACAGCACTTTAATACATAGAATGAAGCATACTATATATACTATATACATAAAACACAAGTACAACATTTATTTGTCAAAAATCACTAGGGCTTTGTTTGATTAGAAAGAAAAGAAAAAAAAGGTAGAAAGTAAAAAATGAAAGGAAGTGATGTGATAATTAAATATACATTTTCTTGCAAGCATTTGATTAGGATACAAATTTTGTAAGAAAAAGATGAACATTTGTTTTTGCAATAAATTAAAAAAGATGTTGCTTAAAATGTGTATAGTATATATAGACAACATTTGTTTTTTAAAATATGTTTTTTGTTTTTTGTAATAAAAAAGATAAGACAAATTTTCTTGTGTTTGTTGCAATAAATTAAAAACTTAATTACAATGCTAATATTGGTTGTACAAGAATTTTAACTTTCCTTGTAGTTTCCATCAGTTTCATACTAAACAAACTCAGAAGAAGTTTCATTTTTTCTTTTTCTTTCCTAGACAAACTCAACGTAGAGAATATATACCATCACATACCGGCTTTGCGGAATGAGCAACGGTTGTGTGTGGCACTAGTTCAGCACTCAAACTAGTCTGCCAAAACACGTCGTGGGGTTTGCAAAGGCAAGCAAACTCAACGCTAGCAATCCAAAGCCCTTGAAGTGATAACCCACAAGCACAAAACTAACTAACAAGCAAATTTCTATGATGCTTTAGGGAGTAATTGAGAATGGCAGTGCCGGAGTTGTATCCATTCACAAAACTCATTCTTTCTATTTTAGCAATAGTAACATAAATACAAGCCCTATAAGTTGCAACTTGAGGTTAAATCTCTCACATACACAGAACTAGAGGATAATTAGGTATTATAGAAACGGAGGGGAGGGCAGAGCATACTTGGTGAACATGAAAGGCACGAGATGGCCCAAATGCAACGCTTCCGAAGAGGGTCCTCTGCCTGTATAAAGATAGAACTTCTCTCCTCTGTCATAGGCATCGAGAATCTCATTTAAATCCCTGTCAAAACACACACAAATGTAAAACAATTCATTCAAACAAACAAACACAATTAGAGAGAGTGAGAGAGAGAGTACCGGTGAGCGAAGAAAACGCCTCGGCGGAGGAAGATATGAGGAGGGCGAGACGTAAGGCGGTGAACACGATCGACGATGGATTTGTCGAGCCTTTGACAGCCGAATTGGTCAATGAGCTTGTCGTAATCGATCTTACCTCCTTGTTTTGCCGATACCTCCCAGGGATTCACCACCTGCTCTTCTTGCTCTTGCTCTTGCTGTCGCTCTTCTTCTACTCCTCCATCCTTCGCCGACATGGCGCTCTGGTTCAGTATTCAGTCTAGTCTAGGGATGACGATGGACTGTAAATTGAGCCAAAGCCAGCCAAGCCCTCACTCAAGTTTGAGATGTTTTGAGCTTGGGTCTGTTGAAAGTTAATCGAGCGAGTCCGAGCCGTCTAGGCCGACTCTAAAAACTGAGTTCCGAGTTCACCTCGGCTGTTTTGGTAACTTGGTTTTTAGTCCCTTTTTTAGGTTTGTAGTGAAAGGTAAAAGTTGATTTTTTGGTTTTTTTTTTCTTTTGGGAAGTTAGTTTTTTGTTACTAGTGAAATTATAATTCTATTTTTCGTATGTCAAAATGTGCTATATAGGTGAAGTTGTAAATATTTTAAATTGAATATAGATAGTTTGGTCATTTTATTGTAATTTGACATCATAAATAAATATTAACCAAAAATTCAAAAGTAATTTTTTACCAATTTTTCAAATTATTTGTCTAAAAAAACCAAAAACTTGATTAAAAGCCAAAAAACTACTTGTTATCATCTTCCCAAAAATAGGCCCTCGTTTAGGTTTTATTTGGTAAGACGCGGTTTGGTAAAGGGTTGTTTTGGGAATGTGGTAAAAATCAAATTTTTTGCTTTTAATCAAGATTTTTGGCTTTTTCAGAAAGTGACTTGGGAAGTTGGAAAAAAGTTATTTTTTTACTTTTTTTGATAATATTTTTTAAAGTTGTCATGTCATGGTGTACAACTGTAAAATTACCAAAATGCCCTCACTCAATGTAATATATTGGCCTGCATGATCCTGCACCACTAAGGGTAGTATCATAATTTCATGTAGTTGATTACAACTAGAATTCCAAATCAATTTTTGTCGAAAAATGCTGGAGTTTGGCGCTGGCGTTCTCAGCCAGACGCAGCGTAAAACTCTGTTCCCAAAATAGGACAAAGTTTGCAAATTTTTTATTTTTTATTTAAAAAAAAAAATCTTTAGTGTATATATTTAAGAAAAAAAGTGATTTTTAATTCACAAATCCAAGTTTTCAATTTAAATTTCATAAATTTTTGATTTTTAAAAAATTTCTATTGACTAAAAGTATCTCCAATGGTTTACCATTTTTTTATCAAATTTGAGTAAAAAAAAGATGATTTCCTCAATCTAATATCAGTCACTCCAACGGTGTACTGTAGCTTTCATCAAAACACAGTAAACGTCTGGGAGACGACCGACCGGTCGACCAGACAGGGAAAATGAAACTGCCTTTTGCATGATAGGGAATATGAAATTACCTTAGTTGTTTCACTTTGTTACCTCAATTGGATTTGCTTAAGAAAACTACATAATTTATTAATTGCCTTTTGCATGACAAACTAATAGTGAGACAAAGAAATATAGTTTCAATTTGATTCACCACTCAATTGTGAATTAAAATAAACAAGTAATTGTTCACAAAATATTGTCATAGTTGGACTATTACCAGTATTGAAGTATTGAGAGACGGCCAATCAAGATCTATATAAAAAGTTTTATCTTCTATAATGGTAAACGCTTTACCACGAGAAACACGAGAAGTTTCCAAAATAAAATTAATATTAATGTTTTGCTCTGAAGTTTGTGATTCCTCAAACATTTTAAAATCTTTCATAGTTTTAAGAAAATTCAATAGGATACAACATTCAACACACACAATGACATATATTATAAAAGAAATAACGAAAGAGGTGGAGAAAAATTGAAAAAATAATATACACTAAAGCTCACACAATGAGAAGACAAATGAAACAAAAAGTGAAGATTGATGTTAACCAAAGCACAAAAAAAAAATAAAAAATAAAAAATAAAAAAATAAAAATAAAAATTGTAATGATATCGTGAAATTAAAAACAAAAAGTGAAGATTAAAGTTAACTAGAGCACAAAGAAAATAGAATTTATAATGATATTGTGAAATTAAAAGACTAGTGGAGTCTTATTTTATAGATGTGACAACCTTCACCTCTGATTAGCGTTAAACTGTGATTGAGCATGATAAGTAATTGATTAGAATGGAGTCTTAAATTGATTGTATGAGTGTGTTGCTTTAATTGCATTTTTATCTGTTTATCTTTTAATGATTTGTTCATGTTTTAATTTCGAATTGCGAATTGAAGGCCTTATCGGCGATCGAATCGGAAATTGATTAGTGTTTTATGCTAATTAGAATTTATATGATTTTATGGTAGGTTTAATTAAAATTTGATTTGGAATGATTAATTAGATTAAATAGTGTTAAATTACATTAGTTTGAATTTATTACATGTTTGCCATTAGTGGGCCACTTTAGAGGCATTGGTTGGGGTGTAATTCATATCATTTTTGGTGCATCATCGTCATCCATTTGGAGACCAAAACCGAGAGAGAGAGGGAGAGTAGGAGAAAATTGATTTCATCAAAATTTGGCTTGGAAAATTTGAGAAATTAAGGGGAATTTGCAAAATTGAGCTAGCAAACTTGGAATCCAAGACCTAAGGTAGGAAATTCACCCTCTTGAACATGAATTTAAGTTGTTTCTTGCATGGTTCATGGAAGTATTGGAGATTAGAATCAAGTTATAGCCTAAAGAGTTGAATTAAGTAGCAATGTGTGCATGCATGTCTGTGTACATGCATGTCCATATCATTGAGTTTTGAGATCATTTACATAAGAATTTCGACATGCATGTTCATATTTTGGTTGTAGTCCATGAATTCACCATAGTTTTGAGTTCAATCTTGCATTTGATCATGTTTTAGAGCATTGGAATTCATAAAAACTCATGCATGTTATGTTCTTGCATTGTTCTTCAAGTTTCTTTGAAATTGGTGTTCAATTGGCTTACCTTTGGGCTTGATTCTACAAAATGATCTTCAAAAACATGTTGTGGTATGAGTTTCCAAGTGTTTTCCAGAAACTTGGCCCAAAGGGTTGAGTTTTGATAAGTTTAATTCTTGGTTTGAGCTTTGGAGCAAATCTGGAAAACCCAAATTTTGGCTTCCTCGCTCGAGCGAAGGATTCCATGCTCGAGTAAGCACCTTTGTTTTCTGAATTCCGCTCGAGCGACGAAATGTTGGCTCGAGCATAGATTGCAAGCTCTTAGGTTTTTGTGGCTTGTTCATAAAAGTCTCTTTGCATTCAGATTTTCATAGCTCATTGGACATCTTTTTATTACTGTTTGGCTTCCGCCAGCCCTTTACTCTGTATTACTGTCATTACCATTAAGTAGGCCTTCGGTAATCACAGATTACTGGCCGGTTGCGATGCTAAACTCATAGGGGCGGGTTTGGGTCGTGACAATAGACCACAACAACAGTGAGTTTGTCAAATTGTTTGCAAAATCAACGGTAACCTTATTGGAGTTGCACCTGCTCAGCGGCTAATTTTGATACAAATTTAAATATACATGCAATGCGTTTCCCTATGTTATGCATGGATCAATGTTGGTAAGGAATTTATTCTTGGTGCCACAAAAAGCAACCAACTTTTCAAACTAGTTTGCAGTCCAAACCATAGCTGCAACTCTTTATTTTCTATGTAACCTGGACGGCCGGGGGACAATCGGCCGGACGTTCAGTGGGCCCCACTTCCAACGTAAACACACAGTAAAATGGTGAAATCTGTCCCAACACCTCAGTTTGGTGAAAATTTTGGACCGTTTTCAATTTGATATAATTTTGATGAAATCGTTGGAGACAAAAAAAATTGTCATTTTTCATCAAATTCAAATTTAGTGATGAATCTGGTGAACCGTTGGAGATGGCCTAACTCTTATTCGAGCAAAAACAAATAAATAAATAAATATTAATATTCCTTAATTTATGATTTTCAAATAGAAAGTATATTAAATCTAAAAAAAAATGAAAAGTGTATTAATCAATTTCAAAATTTAAATTTGAGGGTTACTAAATATAGAAAGCAATCCATTAATTTAAATTTAAAATTGGCACAATATAAATTTAAAATTATAAATATATATCCCATGATTTATAAGTTTTAAATAAAAATTTAAAATTATCATAATTAACTCATAATTTTTATATTTATGAGCAATAAGGGTAACGTTGAGATTATTTATATATTTACAAAAGAACGCTTTTAAGAAGAGATATTATGAGAATTTCATAACCTCATACAAAATCTATATGCTATTATAATTGAAAAACGTTATCATCTTATTAAAACCTAAAGTTGCAATTCTTTTTCTTTTTTTAAAATTTTTGTTAATAAGTATCACAATATCATTGGTTTATAAATTAATCTTATATTTTTAAAATAAAATTTTCAATTTAGATTCTTCCTTAAATTATATTACTAGAATAATATCTATATTCATTCATTAATTTACGGATATTTTATTAAATTATAAAATAAAATTTTAATTTTTAATTATGTTACTACAATTAGAATGTGATCAATATTCACATGTCACTACAAAAAAATTGATTTTTTGCGACGGTAAAACGCCGTCGCAAATACCTCAAACGCCGTCTCAAAAGGTTTTTTGCGACGGTAGGTTTTATATTTTTATTTTTTGTCATTTTTGGTTTTAAATTTTAAGGTAAATTACAAATACACCCCTAGAGTTTGATTAAAATACGAATTACCCCCTATGATTTTGAAAATTACATTCCACCTCATGAGGTTTCAAATTTCATAACAAGTAGCCCATTTATATTAATAAATTATCAAGTCAATTAACAGTTTTTAATGATGTAAGAAATATATTTCAAATAATAATTTAGGTAATTTTATTATTGTATAGGAGAATAATTATGAATTTTATTTTCTAATTAATTCCGTTAAATAAAAAATTCTAATGAGGGGGTATTTGTAATTTTTTAAACCACATAGAACAATCTGTACTTTAAGTAAACCTGATAGTGTGTATTTGTAATTTACCCTAAACTTTATATAAAAAAAAATTATGCCCTTCTAAACTACAAGGACTTAAACAATAATTTTTTTAATACAGATATTGTTTTAAACAAATTACAAAATATTAAGAAAATGAATGACTTTTTTAACAATTGCCAAACATGATAGAGTTTGTTAATTTTGTTTTGTCTCAATTGTCAATTAAACAAATTAAAATAAAAAATAATTTTTTTGGCTTAAAAAATAGTTAAGAAGTGACTTTTTCTAAAATCAAATAGAAATAAATATATATTTTTTCTATTTAAAGTGATTGTTGGTGAAACTTATTTTTTTTTATATAATAAAAAAGAAAATGAGAGTTACATGTGATAATTTATTGTTCTAAGAATACTACAGACTCATACTTTCACCTACAATGATGTGACAAGGGAGTTGAGTTTCATATTATTGAATGTTGTGGGGATATATTTTCTGAGTACCAACACGTGGCAAGGTGACGCCGACATGTCAGCCGAGGTGCCACGTGTCTTGGTCGTTGTTTTTTTTTTTTTGTAGGTTTCAAACATTTTTCTTATTATTCATATTGACTTTTTTAGTACTCGCGAAATATGGTGGATCGTGTTAATTTTTTTTTAAGCTCAGCTGTCAATTAAACAAACTAAAATAAAAAATAATTTTTTTGGGCTCAAATTACTAAAAAGTGAGTTTTGCTAAAACAAATAGAAATAAATGTTATTTTTCTAATAAAAGTGATGGTTTGTGAAATATATTTTTTTATTTTAAAAAAAATAACGGTTATAGGTGATAATTTATTAGTCATTTATAATTATTTTCAGATTAAATGAGAATATCATTCTAAATTTTCTCCTTATTTTTTTTATACAGATACTTTTATTTTGTAGAAATTTAATTTTATTATATTTAAATATTTTATACCATTATAAAAAATATATTTTTAATATCAACTTATTCCATGATCCCTTTCTAAAAGTTGTATTTGCTTTTGTTCATTAATATTAAAATTTTAATTAATCTGATTTATTATTAAAAAAAATAAATTAGCAAAAATTTTATGCATTTATATATACAATTTTGTTTCGATTGCTCAGGTTATTTAGTATCTTTGTCCAAGTTCATTCAAATATATTCAAAATTTTGAATTTTACATAGGTTCTCATCGAATTAAAAATTATGTTGCACAATCTTTAAAAATTTACTGGCTTCTTGAGTTGTTTGGGTTCAATTCGCCCAAATTTACAACCTTAACAAGGGGGTTGAAAGTTACATTATTGAAGTTGTGACAAATTAAAAATTGATACATAAATTGTGATAAACTTGTAAAACTTAAATTGTAAGTTTTAATATTAATTTTTTAGTTTCATAATTTACATACAAAAATCTAACTATTTATATTATTTCATATAAACATATTATATTAATGGGTAAATTACAAATACACCCCCTGAGGTATGATTAAAATATGAATCGTCCCCTGTGGTTCTGAAAATTACATTCGACCCTCTGAGATTTCTAATTTTATAACAAATCGCCCCTTTTATTAATAAATCATCAAATCAATTAACAATTTTTAATGATGTTAGAAATATGTTTCAATTAATAATTTAAGTAATTTTGTTATTGTATAGGAGAGCAATTAAGAATTTCATTTTTTTAGTTAATTCTGTTAAATTTACCGTTTATTAATTTTTTCACATCCCATGCATAGCATGGGTTTCACTAGTTTGAATCTGATAACAAAATAAATTTTGAATTTTGTTAATTTAAATCTTAATTTTTTTTAATATAAACTATTTGTTTATTTCTGTTGACTAAAAAATGATAAAAATAAATAAATATTTTAGTCATTAAACTTAAGTAAAATTATATTTTAGACATTTTATGTATACTGACATTAGTTTAATGACTAAAATGTTACTATTTTTGTTTTTGTCGATTTTACTAAATAAAAATAGATGAATAGCTTAAATAAAAAATAAATAAAAAATTAAGTTTTAAATTGATAAAATTAAAAACTTAATGTCTATTTTATCCTGAGGTTCAACCGTTGATTTTTTTTTTTTTAATTGTACCGCATTGGGTCACCATCATCTATGAGTCTATGACCATCAATATACAGTGAACACCCTTTTAACTTGCGACAATGTTAGGTAGTTCAAATTTTTGTGGATCAAATGGCTCAAATCTGTCAAAACGACGTCGTTTTACACTCAAAATCTGTCAAAACGACGTCGTTTTGACAGATTTGAGCCATTTGATCCACAAAAATTTGAACTACCTAACATTGTCGCAAGTTAAAAGGGTGTTCACTGTATATTGATGGTCATAGACTCATAGATGATGGTGACCCAATGCGGTCGTTGGTTGCGCAAAGGTGGTTGCAAAGGTATTTTCAGATAGGAACCGGTGCAAACTGAAATGTTAATGTTTGATATTTTTGAAATTGCATAGACTGCAACACTTCAAAAAAGACCAAAATTGATTGTTTGTGTCCAGTTCGGTCGGTGTAAATGATTTTCTTGATTTTTTTACACCCTTAATTGAGTGCTGTTTTTATTTAAAAATAATAATTATTATTATTTTACAAAAACACCACTTAATTATAATTTTCTCCTTTTTTTTTTCTTTTTTTTTTTTTTTTTTTTTCCAAGTCACGAGATTTCATTCCTTGCCACCGCTGATCGAGTAGAAGACACAGAGTGAGTCTCATGACTCACAGCTAAAAAGCTATACATTCGAATATAACTCTCACGAGGGTATGTACTGGTTGGTTGCTCATCTAACTCTCCAAGCCAAGCCCATACCACCACATGAATCCCAACATTCATACTAGCAAAACCAAAACCAAAACCAAAACAAAAAATAATAATTATTATTCATTAGTCTTGAATTGAAATGCTAAAATATTTTTATTATTTATATTATATTTTTAATATCATATTTTTCTTTTAACAGTGATTTTCAAACACAGGATTAATTGTTTTATTATTTATATTATATCATCAATAAATATTGACTCACTTTATATATTTTGCGATGAATAATACTATACATAATCTCATTTGTTATTTTATTTTATCACTTTTAGACACAAGATAATAAAGAAAATGTAATAAAAAATGAAATTATATGTAACATTTTCCTTTTACAATTTCTCATTAGTCGAGATTAAGAGTAGAGGGACACAGTGACCAGAGGGGTCACGTGCCCTCCTGACTTTTCAAATTTTTTTTTTTTGGGATCTTAGCTGACATTCACACAGTTACAGCCCTACATCTTCACTTTTTAATTAATTTTTATTTTTTTTTCTATATTTTTAACTCCTAATCCCAACCAAACACACTGACACACAGCGCCTCACCTCACCCACATTTTGTTTTGTTTTTGTTTTTGTATTTTGTTTTGTTTTTTGTTTTTTGAGTCCCAATCCCAACAAAACACTGACACACGCACAATCCCGACCACGGAAACAATCTAAAAATTTGTTGGGCAAGGCTTTCAACCGCAGGTGGTAGGACCTCTAAAACCTTAAAAGTATATGAAGTTCTTTATTTTTTAATTTATTCACAATATTTGTTAAGTGTCTCCATATTTTCTTTCTCTTCTTATTGGGATCACACAACACAGATTTGAGACCACACTACAATCTTGGTGTCTTCTCTTCATTGTTTACAAGTAACTTTATTTATTATTTTTTACTTTTAAACAAAAATTATGAGTATTAATTTATAGTTATTTATTATTATTATTATTATTTATGTTAAAATAAGAGATTTTGATATGTTAAAATTATAAATCTTGATTGGTAGTGATTTATATTAAAATTAAATATTTTGGTTTGTTATTGTTGTTTGTGCTAAAATTAGAGATTTAATTTGTGCCCCAGTTGTATTAAATTCCTATCTCCGTGGAGATCAATACTTGTTTGTCCAACGAAAAGGCATAAATGCTTGTGACAGAGGGACACAGTGACCAGAGGGGTCACGTGCCCTTCTGACTTTTCAATTTTTTTTTTTTTTGTGGGGGTCTTAGCTGACATTCACACAGTTACAGCCCTACATCTTCACTTTTCAATTAATTATTATTTTTTTTCTATATTTTTAACCCCTAATCCCAACCAAACACACTGACACACGGCGCCTCACCTCACCCACATTTTGTTTTGTTTTTGTTTTTGTATTTGTATTTTGTTTTGTTTTTTGTTTTTGGAGTCCCAATCCCAACAAAACACTGACACACACACAATTCCGACCACGGAAACAATCTAAAAATTTGCTGGGCAAAGCTTTCAACCGCAGGTGGTAGGACTTCTAAAATCTTAAAAGTGTACGAAGTTCTTTATTTTTTAATTTATTCACAATATTTGTTAAGTGTCTCCATATATTTTCTTTGTCTTCTTATTGGGATCACACAACACAGATTTGAAACCACACTACAATCTTGGTGTCTTCTCTTCATTGTTTACAAGTAACTTTATTTATTATTTTTTACTTTTAAACAAAAATTATGAGTATTAATTTATAGTTGTTTATTATTATTATTTATGTTAAAATAAGAGATTTTGATATGTTAAAATTATAAATCTTGATTGGTAGTGATTTATATTAAAATTAAATATTTTGGTTTGTTATTGTTGTTTGTGCTAAAATTAGAGATTTAATTTGTGCCCCAGTTGTATTAAATTCCTATCTCCGTGGAGATCAATACTTGTTTGTCCAACGAAAAGGCATAAATGCTTGTGACAGAACACTATAAAATCAGATCGTCCATGCATTATAATTGCATGGCATGCAAAAACATTTACATGATGAAGAGTAGTGGTGAGTTAGTTTTGTTGGTGTTTGTGGCTTTCTTACGGGTTTGCACACAAACGTCGTCGTGCCGAGAGCAAGAGCCCCTGGTGCCATGCTTCTTCATATTTGGGGACTCATTGGTAGATAACGGGAACAACAACGGGATACTACTCACCCTTGCTAAGTCCAACTACTACCCTTATGGAATTGATTTTCCTCAGGGCGCCACCGGCCGCTTCACCAATGGTCGTACTTACGTCGATGCTTTAGGTGAATGTGGAAAAAAAAAAAACATTTTATTTATTTATTTATTTTATATATTGATAAAACCGAATCTTGTGCACTTTCTTATGTTTTTATATCTTTAGCTCACATTCTATCACGAGATCAGAGTCGTAGAGATAAATCATATCATAGAGACAACATTTGGCATAAGGGAGATAAATCCTTGACCTTGCATGAACACCTTTTGGTGAAACTCTAGCTTTTTGATTAATTACTTGATTCTCGCTGTTGTCCAGTGGATACATGATGATGATCAATCATCAAATGATCACTTACACAAGTAATTAAATTAATTATGACATTTTATCTTTCTTTGTTGTAATATTTGCAGCACTACTTCTAGGGTTTCCAAATTATATTCCTACCTATTCAAGGGTCCAAGGTCACGCCATTCTCAGGGGAGCCAATTATGCATCGGGAGCAGCTGGTATTCGAGATGAAACAGGCAACAATTTGGTAGGGGGGAATTAGTATTTTATGAAAACTTCATGGGGTGTATTTGTAATTTATCTCAAAAATAAGAATGTCAATATGTGAAGGGTTTATTAGTAATTTAATATATATGCAGGGGGATCACATATCAATGAACCAGCAAGTTGCCAACTTTGGAAGAACAGTTCAACAGATAAGTAGGTACTTCAGAGGAGATAACAATGCAGTTGGGGGGTACCTTAGCAAATGCATATTTTTTTCAGGAATGGGAAGTAATGACTATCTAAACAATTACTTCATGCCTGGCTTCTATTCAACTGGTTCAGATTACACCCCTATGGCATTTGCTACTGTACTACTTCAAGATTATTCTCGCCAGCTCACAGTATTCATCTCCAACTCGTACACTTTCATATCGTTTGTTTTTGTTTGTTTTCTGTTCTTCAAATTTTTTTTAAAAAAAAAAAAAAAAATTTGAACCGTTCAATGCTAAGATAGTTTGGTCCATTCTTTTTCAGATTTATGAATCATTGATTACAGTTTAGTTCATGGATTAAGACTCAAGAACCGAATTAAACCAAACCAAATCATTCCTGATTACAGTTTAGTTCATGGATTAAGACTCAAGAACCGAATTAAACCAAACCAAATCATTCCGTGTTTTGTTTTTTTAATTAATTTTGATATGTATAAGGTATTCCACAAAGAATTTGTTTTCTTTCTCATTTATTTCAATGAAGCATTTTCATTCATCCTATATGTTTGTGTATTGCTCTTCCTCCGCACCCACCCCAATATTTATACAATTTTTGCACTTGTATTATTTAAAAACCGTATTTCTATAGTAGTTGCTAAATAGTATGATATGTTTGTTATGACTTTACACATTTATAAAATTAAATATTTTGAAATATGCTTTCATAGGTAGAAATAATATTTATTTAAATGGATAAACTCTATATAGTGGAAAAAAATTTAGCCTAAAACTGTGGAATCAAACCGTTTTTACAATGTAGTTCTTGGTTTAACTTTGAAACCAAACCACTCTGTGTATGTATGATCATGTTAGTGATTGAATATTTGTACAGGAATTGTACAATTTGGGAGCTCGGAAGGTAGTCGTAACAGGAGTAGGCCAAATTGGGTGCATACCATATGAATTGGCCCGTAATAACAATAATAACAGTAATAACAACAAATGTAACGATGATATCAACAATGCCATCGTTCTCTTCAACTCAGGGCTTCGAAAGTTGGTTGATCGTTTCAACAACGGACAATTGCCTGGATCCAAGTTCGTTTATCTTGATTCTTTCCAAAGCACCAAAGACCTAGTCCGAAATGCACCTTCCTATGGTAATTTCTTTTCTTTTCTTTTCTTTAAGTATACCACATTGTTAAACATAAAACAATAAACAAATGACTCGCTTGTTTCATTCATAACTAGTACTCACTGGTGCTAGATTTAAGATCTAAAATATTTATCTTATGAGTAATGTTATATAAATAGAATTTCTATACACAAAACTGATACAGAATGATGTGTTTCAATTATAGTCATTCATCGGAAATCTAAATGTCCATCATTTTGATTTATAATTGCAAAAATAATTTTGCCACATCATTCTTGTCTTAAATTTTATATACAAATGTTTGTGTATCAATTTTCTAATCTTATTTCTAGAAATTAATAGATAAGAAGGGAAGGCCCAGTCATTTTGGCGCCTTAGATGGGATTTGAAATTGAGGTCTTTTAAAATTTAAAAATTAGTTTAAACAATTATATTTTAGTTTACATATTCAAGTTTCAATATGTAAAATTACTAATTAAAATTTTATAATAATGTTTTCTAACCATGCATGAATATGTAGGATTTGAGGTGGTAAACAAGGGATGTTGTGGGGTGGGAAGGAACAATGGGCAAATAACATGTCTCCCTCTTCAACAACCCTGTGATGACCGATCCAAGTACTTGTTTTGGGATGCTTTTCATCCCACAGAGGCTGCAAACATCATACTCGCCAAGAAGTCTTTTACTTCCAAGTCTCGATCTGATGCATATCCGATAAACATTCAACAATTGGCAATGCTTCCTGTAACAGTACATTCCAATTTAACAGCAATTTCGAACTAATTTCCAATCGAGTATTGTTTTTCTCTACGACACTTAATTGTCCTCGTTTCTTGAATCTGTTTGTTGTATGTTTTCACTATCAAAGTAGATTTTCATTTGTTGGATATTGGGTCGGATTTGGCCCGACCCATAATTCATGGAGCGTCCACATGAGTTGTGGATAATTCACATAAATTTAATAAATAAGATAATTAGAAGATTATCTTTTGGAGATTGTTCAGTTGTTGTGGGAGTCTACAACTCCACATCTATCTGCAGAGATCATATATCTGACATAGCGAAACAGACATATTATTATTGTGGGAGTTTACTCGAAAAATCTTTGCAAAATTTCTCTGTGTTCTTCCCTCTTAGGTCACTCCATTAGCGAATTAAGGGAGGGATGGAACCTAGGGATTTGGAGTGTGGATACAATAAACTTTAATAACTTCTCAATTGAAGACGGATGATTTTCCAGACGAGACTTATAATTCAAGCATCCAATCCAAACTGTTTCTGCATCATAATATGATTACCTGCATATTTTTCTTCAATTTGGTTGTTATAAGTATGTTTTCACAGATTCAATTCTCTCTTTAATGTTTTACTTCAGAGCCAAACAAACAGACAACTATTATTGTTGGGTTTTTAATTTCCTCACTTTAATGCTCCCATTTTTTAAAGAAAAATAATTTAATAGTGCTGATTGTTATCAATTTCACACCTGGATATAAGCACATTTTTATGAGGGAGAGGTTTAGTTTTCTAGTGGACCCATCGCGAGATATAGAAACAGAAATCGGGACAAAGAATCCCAACTTGAAAAGGGAAAAAGGTTTTTGTTTTTTAGTGAACCCATGGCGAAATATAGACTGACAGAGAGTTGGAACAAAAAATTAGGACAAAGAATCCCAACTCCAAAAGGGAAGAGTCACAACTATTGTTTTTGGACGTTTTGAAGGGAGGGCATTGACATTGTGGCAATTGTGGATAGCAAATTTAGTAACTGAAGTGTAAAAAACATCGTTTCATTTTGTTCGTACATAATTTTTATACAAAATTTATAGTTGATTATTAATGCAATAGTGATAATTTAAAATTTCATACCAGGCCATTTCATAAAGGTTGCCATGTTATTATATATTCAAATTTTCTATTTATATAGCATATACGGGTTTAGTTTGAAAGAAAATAAGAAGATAAAAAGTATTTTGGTTAATTTTTGTAATTAATGTTTTAGTTTAGAAAAAAAAAAATTACACATAACAAATCACATAATGAATCCCCACCCTCTCGTGTATTCTGCAATGGAAAATGCTATACAAACAAAAAAATTTACAAACTGATGCGACATAGAGTGATACAACTTTAGAATGTGAAATGAGGCCCAACTCATTCATATTCTAAGTGACACATCAATTTGTAAGGAAAGTTTGTTTAAAAGTTTGTTTGTATAGCACTGCAGTTTGTTTAAAAAGTTCGTTTGTACGGCACTAATTTTCTGTAATTTGTTTTTGCACATGTAAAACTACCATTAAGCCAACCATCACACAGCAAATGACAACCATATGAAAGTAGAAATAAGGGCAAGCATTACTACACTCCAAACTGTTCGAGCTGATTGGCTGCATTCAATTTCTAATCTCCAGTCCAAACAGCAAGCAAATAGAGTAGACACAAGCGAAAAATCTAACATGAAGAAGAAGAAGAAGAAGAAGAAGAAGAAGAAGAAGTGATGATGATCATCTCAAAGTTTGGCAAGTTGCTCTATATTCATTGGATAAGCCACGCTTTGATCGCCGCTGAAAGACTTCCTCCCCATTATGATGTTTACTGCTTCTGTTGGGTGGAATGCATCCCAAAACACATACTGATTTCGATCTGAACACGGTGTTTGGAGCGGAAGACATGTTATCTGCCCGCTGTTTCTTCCAATCCCACAGCAACCCTTGTTTATCACACTAAATCCTGCAACCAAACAAACAACACAGTTTTGTTTTTTTATATTTATAAATTGAATTGTCTAATTAATTAACATAGATATAGATCTAATAAAATGATTATGTACCATAAGAACTATTATTGGTGAGAATATCTTTGAACATGTTGTGAATGTTGATGAAAATGAAGTGGGAACCGGGGAGATTGGCGCTGAGGTTGTCGATCATCAATTTCATGTTTGCATTGAAAGGCAGCACAAGTTGGTTCACTTCTTCTGAGCATACACCGTTTGGACTTTGTGCCAGGATGCTTGGAATGCAACCCATCAACCCGAGCCCTGCTAGTACAAATTTCCGGGCTCCAAGATTGTACAACCTCTGCCAATCCAGTTAGTTACAAAAGTCAGTTAATTAGTTAGGTACGAGAACATACAGGGAAAATCATAATCTCAACCTTAAAGGGCAAATTACATTGGCAATCCTTGAACTTTAACCCTTTGTATCATTTTAATCCCTACAAATTTAATTGACTCAATTTTGATCCAATGGTATGTCTATTTTGCTCCTAAAAAATAGACAATGCTTTCCAATGTGCGTGTTATATGTCAAAACCATTGATGAGATTGATACAGGATCAAGAATTCAATGTCAAAATTGGTTAGTTACGAAAACAAGACAGACTAAAGTTTAGGAACTACTGATATAATTCAAGAATTCAAAGTAAAAATTGAGTTAGTTACCAAAACAACACGGAATAAAATTTAGGTACTGCTGATATAATTTGTTATCATTTGTAAATCTTACAATGAGTTGTTGGTTGTACTCTTGAACCAAGAGATCGGCATATTGAGTGCCGGTATACTGATTCCGAGTTGGGTAATTGGGCATAAGGTAGTTGTTGAGGTAGTCATTGCTTCCCATTCCGACGAAGAATATGGATCGAGAGAGTGCTTGAGCCAAATCCGTTGCTCCAAGGTAATTGCTAATTTGATCAAGTGTGTTTTGAAAGTTGATTATTTGTTGGTTGAATGGTATGCGACCCATCTATAATTAATGATACATTACAACATTAAACATGATTTTGAGTAAATAAAATGTACTATATAGTAAATATATGCATTCAAAAATGTTTCATAATTTCTGTATGATATATATATCGAGTGGTGCTTACAAAATTGCGGCCGGTGATGTCGAGGATTCCGGCGGCGGCGGAGGCATAGTTGACACCATGAAGCAGTTGTTGACCAGAAGCTTGAGCGTATGGAGGAATCAGAGGCAGTCCCAACAGTTGAGCTGCATTCATGTATTTATTTATATATTGCAATTGCTTTAATAATTAATGTTGCTAGTATAAATGTAAGGACAAATTACACCATAGTCCTTATATTTTTGTATTTTGTGTCATTTTAGTTGTTGTAATTTCAATTGATTCAATTTTTAAATAAATTAATGATTTTTTTCAATTTAATCCAATTGATTACATCCATTAACATTTTGTAAGAAAATGAGCACATGAGCTATATCATTTAGTTGTTGAAGGTAATTTCAATTGATTCAATTTTTAAATGAATTTATAATTTTCTCTCAATTTGATCCAATTAATTACACATATTAACATTTTGTAGAAAAATGAGCACATGAACTATATATATTGGCACGATTTTAGAGACAAAATGATAAACTTAAGAATACTTGTTGGGGGGTCGGCCCAATTGTTATTATATCATAGGGGTGTGGGCTTGACTTATTTATCAAAAAGTTCTATTTTAACTTTTAGCAATAAATTTATCATATTTCAATTCACCTAATGAAAATAAATTAAAAATAAATCAAAACTTGTAAACAACAACAACAACAAAAACAAAAGCATCTCAATTATTTATCATTTTGATAAATTTATCAATATGATTATTAGTATCAAATACTTATTCCATAAATATAACACATCTAAAAAGTCTCAAAATTTTCTTATTATCAAAGTAAGGGGCAAATGAATACAAAAAAATTATTAGTTTGATGAAAATAAAAACTAAAAAGATATTTTCACCCCAACAAAAGAAAATTTATATGAATATGAAGTGATTTTGATTTTTTTTTTTGTTAAATTAGTTTTATTTTGTTTTTTATAAAACAATTTTTTTTTAAAAAAAATTAACATACTAATTTTTGAGTATTTTTCTATATATGTCTGAATTTTTAATCTCTAAAAATTAATGGAGAGTCTATTTTAAAATGATAAGGCATAATATATTCACATAATATACATAAATATATTTTATATTGTTTTTTTATCTTGTAGCTGTATTTGATTACTTAATGATCTCTATATACATGCATGGTATATGTATGGAATAAAATAAATAAATAAATAAATAAATAAATGAATGAAATCGTTACACATGCAACAGAAACAAATGAACAATCAGTGAGCTATTTGATGACGAGAGAGAGAGAGAGAGAGAGAGAGAGAGAGAGAGTTTAGTTTTGAGATTCTGATGGGTGGGAGGAAGGAGTACCAATTTCATCAACCACGGTGTAGCCATTAGAGAAGCGACCAGTAGGACCAGCTTGAAAATCAATGCCATAAGGGAAATAGTTGGCTTTGGCAAGGGTAGCTAAGTTATTGTTGTTTCCATTGTCAATCAGAGAGTCTCCAAATATGAACATTGCTGGCACCATCTCTTTACTCCCTCCTCCTCCTCCTCCTACATCTTCTTGCCCTTGTCCCAAAACCACCAATACTAATAAACTGCACAAACACCACAACCTCATCTTCCTCTTTCTCTTTCTCTTCCTCTGTATGTATGTGTGAGAGAGAGAGAGACACACACACACAGAGAATGTTAAAGAGATTTGAAAGAAAGAGTAGAAGATTGTTATATTATTACTACTAGTACTAGTTGTGTATAGTAGTAGTAGTATATATGTATAAAAAGTGGTGGGAGTAGTTTGTGAGTGCAGCAGAGAGTGAGAGAGAGAGATAGAGAGACAGAGATTTAATGGAGGGGAGGCGAGGAGAGGGTGTGTCTAGGGAGTCGTAAGGTGGTGTGGTAGTTCGACAGTAATAAATGAATTCACCTGTTAGCTTCCTCATTGCAGTAAATACCCTATTAACTCTTCTCTGCGGCACTCATCTCATGCTTCCCCACTTTCTTCCTCTTATCCTTTTCATTCTAATTTAATTTAATTATTTCGTCTACATAATTCAGACATTTCATTCTGTGGAACTCTCCAGCATATTATTTATTAAAAAAATTAAGCTGATTTAATAATTATAATATTTTTTATTTTATTATATTTGTCATTATTTTTTCAAAGATAAATATATATGATAAAATAAAAATATTATAATTATCATATTAATATGTTTTATTTTATGAATGATATACATAAAAAAAAATTCTACAAATTAAACAATTCAAATTATCAAAACCTCACTCGTGGTGGCCCCCAAACCATCAACATGTTGGTCAAGTTTATAATCTAGTATACATGATTGCATTATATAATATAAATTAAATTGTATTGAACGAAATTACATATACACTTTAAAACGAGACTCTTATGCTTTATTTGATTTATTGGAATGAAATATTAATTTTTTTATAAAATCATAATTTCCTTAAAATAGTGAAAGATGATTCAATTTGTAATGTATTTATCATTATTTTTTTAATCTAACCAAATATAGGAATGAACGTTTGATGGAATAATCATTTCATTCCATTTCAATGAGCCAAACACTACTTTAAATATTATTTAATGGAAATATTCTGATCGGTTGGAGTTGGTTTAAATACTTGTTTAGTTAAAAACATATTTTTTAAAACAAAATAAGTACTACTCTGTCTTTGTTGTTTGATTAAAAAAACAGACACCAATTGAGCATAGATTTGCTTCCTGCATTTTGCTTCCCTGCCTTCTCTTTTGGAGGTAGACCACTACACGGCTACTCCTATATCTAAATCATTTTGAACTCTTAATTTAGTTTTTTTTTCCCTTTATCTTCATAGCTTTTTAGTACTATTATTATTATCATTGAGTGATAAAATAGTAATTTAAAGAAAAAATTTAATGTTTTTTAATAGCATTTTTTAAAATTAAATATTTTTTAAAATTTCGGATTGACCCAATATTGTCCTAATCTTGAAATTCAAGTTCTAAAAAAAATGCAAATTTTAAATCCACCCACTTAATCTAAAATATATGAGAAATTTGGGAGGTCCCCAATATCAAATTTCTTGCATAAATGACAAATATCCATCAAGGACAATGGTCAAAATATGTAAAAATTCTTGGGTGCAAATAGGGTAAGTGTCATGTGGTACATTTCTCTTCCCTCATTAGTTGAGAGAATGGGGGCCACATTTATGTATTGGGTGATAGAGAAACAATATGGAAGGCCATGATACAACATGGAAAGGCATAATATTTGTAATTGGTTGGAGGCATCATATGACATGCCGCATGGTACCCTATTTTCACCCAAGAATTTTTCCAAAACATAGCCAAAATATGATAAAAATACTCTCAAGTGAAATTTTATACTAGCCTCTGCTCCCACTCCCATGGGCTATTGCCAACCACCATCTTCCTTTGCAAGTGGTGGGAAAACTTTGACAACCATTTTCCAACGACTCCCCACCCTCCTCTAGCTACTTATCTCCTTCAGCTACTTATTTCGGCCACCAACTTCGGAAAACTCTTCTCTATCTATCATAACACTACCACTGCCACTGCCACTACCACACCATCACTACCTAGAAAACCAAAAAAAATAAAATTGTAAAATCATAAAAAAAATTTCCAAAAACAATTTTAGCATTTAAAAAATTTTTGTTTTCTAAAAAAAAAAAATAAGACAGTAAAATTGTAGAGTTAAAAAAATGATAAATAACCTTTTCATTTGTACTTTTCAATTTGGAATGAAATTTTTAACCCTCAAAATTGAAATTATTCCTTCCATTTTGAAATTCCTATATAAAATGAGAATAAAGATTTTCACTGTGCAAAACAACCAACAAAGTAAAATCCATACATTAAACAACTCAGAAATCTTCTTTAAAATAAATTTGGCAGGTGGCTATATATGTAAATTATATTGCAAAACTCAAGTATGTTTGAATCAACTATTTTCCAAGTCAACTTTACCCAAGAAAGGGTTATAAAGATGAATGGTTGAGAGCATACGGTAGAAATAAATGATGAAGGCAGCAAAGAAATGATCACCTAAACATTATTCATGCATTGATCTCATCTCTGTCTCTGTCAATGAGAGAGAAGAGAAGAGAAGAGAAGAGAGAAAGAAACTCATTGAATCCTCTCTTCTGTGTGCCCAACATTTATTTGCAGAATAATTTTATGTAAATCATTTTTTTTGTTTACAAATTTAATTTATAAACTGATGTAACAATTGAGTCGTTATTTTATCATTTAGTCAATTTCAAATAGCAATATTTTGTTAATAGATACCACATCAGTTGATGAATAAATAAATAAAGTTAGTAAAGAAACTATTTATGTAGCAATTTCTCTTGTCAAAATTGATGGCAAAATAGTTTTGGCTAATGAAGCTTTAATGTCAATGCCCTTATTAATTTGTTTGTAACGGTATTTAGTTGTTAGGCAAAACAACCGTTCCCAATGACATTTTATTTATTTGTTAAGGCACTCGCCATGCGTTGCGGACATGACACGCTCTCCTGCAATTGTGTGTGTGTTTTTTTTTTTTTTTTTTGAAATTAACCCTCACCAAGTGAGGGACCCACCACCAGGGCACCAATGGAGGGCAACCCCTAGCCCCCGGGATAACCGGTTGCCAATTAGAAATTAACCCTCACCAAGTGAGGGACCCACCACCAGGGCACCAATGGAGGGCAACCCCTAGCCCCCGGGATAACCGGTTGCCAGTTAGGAATTAACCCCCACCAAGTGAGGGACCCACCACCAGAGCACCAATGGAGGGCAACCCCACGCCGCAGCAGAGGCCAGAGACCGAGGGAAGTAAAGGCATTACTTACAGAGAGTGATCTCAAATGCCCCTTCCAGAAATCGACCCTGGTTCCTCGACTGGAGAATGGACAGCTTCCTCCACCAGGCCACCAACCCTGGTGGTGCTCTCCTGCAATTGTTTGTGGCCCAATTCATGTGCCTGTGGATTGCGTGCCGATCATTATAAGTTTTTTTAGTAAGATAATTTATTATAAATCAAATGTGGATAATCACAAAATAGATCTTAGAAGTATTTTTTTTCTCAATTTTTAAGGTGTCATTTGATAACACTTACGTTTCCAGTTTTCTATTTATATTTACAAAAATTTTAAAAACTCAAATAAAAACTTATTTGGTAAAATTTTTGATTTATAAATCAGTGGTCTCAGTTTATAAATTTGGCCAAAAAATGAAAACACAAAAAATGTGTTTCCATTTTGAATTTTTTTTTTTTACTACCCAACACTAGCCACCACTCGTCACCATTTTCTACCACCGTCTTTCGCCACCACCACCCACCACCCACCACCCACCCCCCACTTGCCACCACCACTCCCCACCCACCTGCCACCACCAGCCACCGCCCGCTGCCACCACCCACCTGGCACCCATTCGCTGCCACCACCACCACCCACCACCCACCTGCCATCCACCACCCGCCACCCATCACCACCATCCACCACCCGTCACCTACCAGCCCACCACCACACACGGTACCACCATCACCCACTCGCTACCACCTACCACCCGCCACCCACCGTCACCACTTTCCACCACCGTCTTCCGCCAGTACTGCGAAAGTTTATAGTCCTCCAGCACAAGGGACTTGTGTTACTTAGGCCCGTAGCCTGGTTTAA